GAAGAAGAAGAAGAAGAAGAAGAAGAAGAAGAAGAAGAAGAAGAAGAGAGACAGCTTGTGGTTGGTAGTGCTGCTTTGTGGGTTGGCAGGGTGATTTATATACTTAAACAATCTTAAATGTCGGATTCTTGCATGCGAACTCGCACATCTCAACTCTCGAAAAGTCGATCCTCATAGATTCCCCAGACATTCCAGACACTGTCCCGGTTCAGTTCACGGCGTATGTAAAGATACTGAGGTTTTGTTGTGGATGGCTCTGCCAGTTGCTGAGGTACTTGCACTATGTAGCGCGGCTTTTTCAGTCCCGGCCTGCCCCAACAGCACAGGAGCAGTTTGAGACCCCGCCCCTTGGTGGGAGTGTAGTACGGGGACAGGACCGGAAACTGGTTAACCCGGGATGAGGAGCCAGGAAGGAGCGCTGTTTTGAAGGCATCCAAACAAAAAGAAGATGAAGAAGCGAACAACTCTGCAGCTCCAAAAAACAACAGCACAATCCCAGCTGAGGATGCAACACAGTTCCTCTTCTCTCATACCTGACTTACTGGGACTGAGCCTAGAACTGCTGATGTGATTTGAGCACTCAAAAGCATCAGCGGCGACTCGCCTCAAGATTTCCACCTGTCTGATGTTTGGTCTCGCTGCCGAGGGTCTCGTCAAGTCCTGCAAGGATTCCGGAGGATGGTCTTTCTGGTTGACCTGGAAGGCACAACCTGTGTGGGTAAAACATGGACTTTCGCCGAGGTATCACGATTGGCTTCAGGCGCCCTTGCAGCCCCTGCAAGACAACCTGGAATCTCAGACGCCCGGGAGACCCGGTCTCGACTGATCCGAGCGGCTCTGCGCAGATTCGGATTCGGACGATGCAATAGAGAAGCGTGTTTGCCCCGCCACATGGTGTGTGTCCCCCAAGACTTCAGCCCCACCCAACACCTCCTTCTCAGGTACTCAGGGCGGTCCCCGATCCACGGTGGACGCGAATCGACCTCTGAGGTACGAGACCTTCGAAAAGGACCCCGTGAAGTGCCGGACCCACGGGACCCGCACGCGTCAGGTCCCGCTGATTCTTCGCCAAAACCGTGTGATCCACACGCGGTCACCGTGGTCTCAAATGGGATTGGTGGTGATTTCTTTTTGCACCACTCATGCCAGGTTGCAGACTCTGATTTGAACCTGCGCAGTTGAGTCCGACAGAACAGGTGTACACAATTATATGTAGTGTAATGGAATGTAATGTAGTGTAATGTAATGTCATGTAATGTCATGTATGCTCTTACTATTAATTTTATTACTATTGTTAATATAGTACTAATAGATATTCTTATTTTTTCCAGGAGATACACTGGATACAGTGGTCAAACGTCATTCCACATCTGAATAGTAAACGCGTCTCTTCAGCAGTTCGACCTGGCACTGTGGGGACAAGGTACGTGCAGTACGAGGAGGCGATCCACCGATGCCTGCAGGACAGCAGCGGGAAGTGCTAGAGGCAGCGTGTACGATTAAGAAGTCTTTAGAGACTTTGCATATATTTTGTGATGCACATTTCTGAGGCATAAATGGCATAAAGCAACAACATTCCTAAATTGAGCACCAATGTTTCCAGTGTTTGTTCCAAACAGATTCACTGAAATCAATGTAGGTTCACTTTTGGGTCAGGGTCCGACATGGACAGACCTGCTCGTTAAAATCGGTGACACCCTTCAAATGTCCACCTTTGGTTGAGACACAGGAATTTCGTGAATTGTGATGCAATATTTTGACGCTACTAGGGGCTCCTGGCCTTACTACTAGGAGTTACTGTACCAAGAAGCTACAAGGAACAAAGGGCATCGTTACTAGGAACAAGGACGCAATATTTTTGAAGAATGGCAGCAGGACTTGATTTACGTGGCCAGTGGGCTTTCGTTTCAGTGCTCTGATCTCTGAGCATCCAAAAAGTCTGGTTGATCCAAACGCATCAGATGTCCTTCCTTCAGTGAGGACAAGCTGGCAGCCGGCAAAAAGCAACTGGTCGCCGGGAACCCCGGCATGGAGGATTCCAAAGAACCAAGTGTTGCCCTATGAAGCTCTAACAAAGTGTTGCTTTGACCTGACAAGTGGCCAAGCAGTTCCAAACACAAAAGAACATGGAAGCTTGCTTGGCACATGGCAACTCGCCCTATGCTGCTATGCTTGTTGAGTGCAACTCGTTGGTTCAAGAGGTGAAGGGATTTCCGGCTTTCCGACATGGTGTGAGCCGGTGTATATATATATATATATACTACAAGACAGGTTCCCTGAATCCATTTCTGGTCATCAAGTCAATTTGGGGTATGTGTCCTGCTGAACGAAACGGCTATCTCCAAGAAGTCTGTGCCGGCCCCACGGGAGAGCCGGATGGGCAGACGCCAGCCTCACAGACAGGGCGGGCGCCAGCATTGGAACTCCTCAGAACTGCAAAACTGAACGTGCTGTCTTGCATGACCTTGAGATCGAGATGAAGAGCACAGGGCTTTACTTCCAGACGCAGAGAAAGCAGTGGGCTTTTCTGTGACATGGTGAATAGGTTATACACCGTAAGTTCACTTCCGCTCAGACTGGGTGGGTGGTTTGTGGTGGGAATGGTTACCCCACCTGACTCATACTGTTGGTGTTCACCAACCACAGGAGTATGTGTACACCGTATGTGCACATATTTACATACACACGTACAGTTCAATTTTGTCTATGTGAATGTGGCTATGTGGGTGCGCGTGCAGATGGGCCAAGGCCATGGTGGTGGGCGCCGGCCGCGGGCCTCTGGTGGTGGCCGTCGGGGGCCTTGAACGAGTCAATGGAAGGAACCTCAAGCAACATCAACATCGCTCCAACAAACATGTTTTTGTTCATGGTCCGATGGTTTACGTTTTATCCCAAAAGCAGTCTTCCACTTGAGAGATTGAACAGGGAACTTGGTATTGAAGGACCAAACCCTCTACGAAAGAGTCTGCCTGGGCAGAGTGCTTTCCTCTGCAAAGTGAAACTCAGGAGTGTTTAGGGCGTTCATCGTTTCCCAACATCTCGTGGACAGCATCCTGCAGAGAAAGCAGGTTCCTCTTTCTGTGAACTTTAGATCCATGATTTTCTGGATATTGCAGGCGATATTAGATGCAGAGACACGTTTGAGACCCATTTTTCACGTCTCAGACCAGATTTGTTGAGACCGATCACAACCCATTTAACTCCAACGAGAGCCACCCTGGAGAAACCTCCCCGATTTGACAATCTGCAGCCAGGTTCGAAGTGCTGCGGTTCGCGCAGGAGAGCGGCCCCCCTTGGCCAGAGCAAGCGAGATCGTGGCCAAAGAATGCAAAAGACATGTTTCAGCATACAGTACTCTCCTCAAATGAGTAGCTCGGCATGTATATCAACACTTGGTTTGAAAAACTAGAACTTGCAATCACAGTGCGGGAGTTCAGTTTCCGTATCCCTGTGTATATGACTTGAAGTGGGGAAGCCAAAAAGATATAGGTCACCAGTGCGACATGAATCCCAAGTAAACCATGTTCACCACAAGGTTCCCTTCTTAGATCCATCCCAGAAGCCTTTCCGCAGTCCATCCTTCAAATCGCTGGCTCTGCCATGCAGAGTCCACGTATGTCATTGAAGGAGTGCAACTAATCACCGAGCCAACAACTTCCTTGTTCCTAGTAGCTTCCAGCTACTATAGTAGTAATGGCCTCCAACCTACTAGCGATGGCCTCCAACCTACTAGCGATGGCCTCCAACCTAGTAGCTTCTTGTTCATCAGCATAATGCCTTCATCAAGTCTCAAAGCGACTCCTCTATGTTCCTCATCAATTTCACCCTCATTCACCAATTCTGGACAGCGAGCCTGTCATTCGGTTGCAAACCATTCGTGTTGGAGGTCTCCACTCCCCATGTTCTCTTTCTTTTTCCTATCCTTTTTGGTCTTCAAACTGGACCAAAAGACTGAACCAGCGCGGTTGTAATGTAGCCGGTAGTCTTCTGCCGAATTTGATCCCATGAGGTCGCCCCAGACCCTGAGACTCTTTTGACGGTTTCAGCTTCCCTGCGAGCCACGCGAAGATCTGAGCTGCGCCGCGCTGCGTGAGGCGCCCAAGTGAAGATCTGGGCGGTGGAGAAGAATCCCAACGCCGTGGTCACTCTGAGGCCGGGAAGACGGAACAGCAGCGCGCCGCCGAGAAGCCGACCGGACGCGGAAGCGAACCTTCCGTGCAGGCACCGCTGCGCGGTGGAGGAGTGGACCAATGTGGAGGCGAGTTCGAAACGAGTTCGAAAACGCTGGAGCGGGGTGAGGGAGTCCCACTGATGGGTTTGCATTGATCTTACTCTTGGCTTACCTTGTCTTATTCAATATCTGTATATGTGTATAGTTTGTATCGATCTATATAACTATATATGTGTATAATATGTGTATATACGTACATATATATATATATATACGTGATGGCTCAAGCCTTCTCGGTTCAAGGATCAGGACGCCACTTTTCGCTTTGGCACTTCGCGTCTTCGAGCACACCATCCTTGACGAGGAGAGAGGCACCTTCTTCTGACTCTACCTTCAGAAGCTCCCATGGACTGGGCCACGCGGACTTACCAGATCTGCACCTCGGGTACCTGCAGGAACTGGATTTGGGAAGACAGGATCCAACCTGGATATACATGCCGGCATTGTGGAGCGGCTTGGAAGCAACCAACACAAGGAGCGGCTGGCAAGACCTCCAACTACCGGCCAGGGAGGAGATGGCAGACTCGGCAAACGAGATCTTTGACCCCTCCTCCAGGTCTTCCACATGCTAGACCACCCAAGCCAGGACGCCTCCAGAAGAATGCAGCGGAGATCTTAGCTCCAGCATGGGACACCATGGATCCAACCATGAAGGCCAAGCTCACCGAATTGGGCATCAATCCGACGCCCAAAACAACTGAACCTGACCTCACGGATGTGCTCAAGGAGAATTTGGCCAGCCTTCCGGCACCTGTGAAGGAACTGGTTGAGAGAATCACCAAGCCACAACCAGAGTCAGAAAAGGAGATGGCCCAGAAGCTCAAGCAGCAAGTCTCCACTCTGAGGGACATCTCGCATCGGAAGCAGATCCTGCAACAGAAGATTGACAGCACCAAGAAGCACTACCAGGACTTGCTTGATGAGATGAAATCTCTACAGACCAAGCTTGAACTTGAACAGAGCTCCCTTAACACCATCAGCACGGCCTACATGACCAAAGTCAGCGCCATGCAGATGGAACAACCACTGCAGCCTCTGGACACTGAGATGAAAGACTCAGTCCCCGAGGCAGTTTCTGGTTTTCTGAGCACACTTGGACTCAACCTCACCCAGGAGCAAAAAGACCAACTTCATGTCATGTTGAAGAGGCCATCAAACGAGGCTGATGCTGAGGAAGAGGCCAAACGACGCAAGACAGCACCGGGCAGCCAAACGTCGGGTGGGTAACAGCCCATCCTCAGTCTCGGCCTGTGAACAGTCTACTTTGAGGATTGATTCATGGCACCTTGTCCATGAACAGGGGACACCTTCACATGAGTGCAGGGGTTTTGCACTTCATGTTGAATCACCTTTGCAATTAGGCTCAAGCACGAGCCGCCCTTTTCCACCTTCGGGCTATGGGCCCTGCCGGCGACACACTGGCGGCCCCAAGATCCTGGGGGGGGGCGATTTTGACTACTTCCAAGGCGGCACCGCGTCAGGCGGATCCGGAGGCACCGAGCTCACCTACTTCAGAGCAGCCCCGTCAGGGGACTGCTACTTTCGGGACCTCCGCCATCCGAGCCTTGACCAGGATGCTGCACACTGTGGATGAACAGGACAATCAAATGTCCTTTGAGCAACAAACTCTCTACAACTTGTGCGTGCAGGACCTGAACACCTCGAGTCAGGCCTATAGCAATCATCAGACCCTACACAATGGGCAGCAGCTGCTCATGGACCTCAAACGCATGCAGAACCTGGTGCACAAACACCTTCAGGTACCTGGCGAAGTGGAACACTCAATGGCCAACATTTTTGTGATCTCCCAATGCCTCACCAGCATTCTTCACAATCCCAAGAACAAGTGCTTTGGCAATGCACCTTGGAGATGCTGGTGCTGGGCGGGAGGCTTTGCTGAAGACGCAGCATTGGCATGGGGCAGAACACACCGAGCAGTCCGACAATACTTGTCTGATAGCGTGCCCCAACTCCTTGAAGGCCTTCATGACATGCACCAAGTCTGGGCTCCTTTCAAGGCGGATGATCAAGCTGATGCGGCAGATTTCCTGCATTCCTTATGGTCCTTTGCGGGCAGTACCTTCTTCGAAGGGAGATTCTTCCATCGGAGCACCAGAGGACAACTTGAAGAACGAGAACAATTCCCGCTCAACCTACTCTTCCCCGATGATCCGGCCTTTGCCACCCTGGACGACCTCATCAATCACTGGGCTGATGAGGGCAATGGACAGTACCTGTATGGGTCCCCAGGGGGGCTGGTCTTGAACCTGCAGCGGTCCACCCATCATCAAGGGCAATGGACCAAGCATCATCGAGAAGTTGAAATTCCCACGAGACTCAACATCCCCTTCTCTGAGGATGGCATCAATGTGCACTATGCCTCCTACCAGATCGTGGCAATGGTTTTGCACCAAGGCGAAGGCCATGAGAATGGTCATTACCAAAGCATCTTGGCCATAGACAATGCCTACTGGCTGGGGGACGATGAAACCTACCCCACTCCGATTTCCTTCATTTCGCCTCAACAGATGAAGGAGATCTCTCAGGTCTGGCTGGTCCTCTCTAGCCCGGCTGAACTGGTCCCTGACACGGCCATTGAGATTGCGGAGACTTTAGCCAAGAAGCCCAAGAAGGCGCAAGAGGTTTTGCAGTTGCTCTTCGGCAATGTCACCTTCTTTGGCAAGAAAGTACAGGACTGGATTTGGACAAAGGCGGACACCATCTTGATGCTTCAAGAAACCCACCTGCAGACAGCTAGTCTCGATAACACCATGCAGTACTTCTCCACCAGAGGATGGAAATGTCATGGAGTGGCAGCCGAGCCCACTGGCAATGGAGGCTCAACGGGCGGTTTCATCACTCTTCATCCTGCCCGACACCTCACGACTACACCAAGCAGGGCAATGGATGGACAGCACTATGTATGGAGCGTCAAGGCCAAAACATCTATCTCGTCCAGCTTTACCTCAGAACTGGCGAAACCCTGCAGTCTACGCTGAATGCAGACATCCTCGGACAGTTGCTTCACTTCTTGGACCATCTCCAAGCACCATTCATTGTCGGCGGCGACTGGCAAACTTCCCCGGAGGAGCTGGCGGCAACCAACATCCCCAGCAAGATGAGAGCGCAGATTGTGGCCACCACAGGGCCCACGACACTTCAAGGCAGCCACCTCGATTTCTGCCTTGTCTCCATCTCTCTGGCCAGTTTCGTCACCTTGGAAGCGGATTGGGAAGTTCCTTGGAAGCCGCACTGTGCTCTCTCTCTGCAGCTGAATTGCACCACTGGGGCCGTGCCAGTCCAGCAACTTCAGCGGTTCCCACCCATCGCAAGGGTCTACCAACTTCCGAACAACTGGACCTCTTACAACGAAGATGATGGCCCTTTTGAGATCATTGGGCAGACCATCACTGGCTTGGGTTCAGACTTTGCCAGGTGGGCCACACAGACTGAGAAGTACCTGTGTCAAACCTTGCAGAAGCCAACCACGGGCCGAGGATCAAAAATCAGGCTCTTCCAAGCTCCCTTGATTGACTCCTCCAAACCTCAGGTCTGGAAGAAAGGCAGTGCTGCCTACTGGGAGAGGATGGGAGTCCGGATCAACGTGGCTCAGCACAAGAGACACCCCAGCGTCCTACATGATCTGCGACAAATGCTGGAAAGGCTTTCCCATCACGCCTCGAAACAATTGGATCAGTCACACTTTGCTGAGAGACTCACCCAGTGGACCTTTGGAGCGGCCATTGATCCTGCCGAGCTGCAAGACACAGTTCATCAGGAACAGGAGAGAGCTCAACAGCAACTTCTTAGTGCCACCAACCACGAGTTCAGAGAGTGGCTGGAAAAGGCTCATGACAAGGGCCTCAGGGGCCTCTTCAGAAGTCTACGTCAAAAAGACCATAGCTGGAAACGACCCTTCCAGGACATACCACATACTCAAAGGATACCAGCCCGGGAACAGCAATGGGGAGAGATCTGGAAACCGCTTCCGGCCCCATGCCACATCAGAGGCATTCAGGAGTTGCGACGGATTGCACAAGCGGCAGCTGCCCAACTACCTCCAGTTGACACGGCTCTCCTGGGCAAACTCATGAGGAAGCTCCCCAACAAGGCAGCCGGACCGGATGGAATTTCTTACGATTTCCTACGGCATCTCCCTTATCCGGCGGTATCCAGGTTGGCCTCTTTACTCACCGAGATGGAGCGCTCGGCTGAACTTCCCATCCAGCTTCGACACACCAACATTGTCATGATCCCAAAGAACGAGCGCATCGAGAGACCCATTGCCCTTACATCTTGCCTTTACAGGCTGTGGAACTCTTACAGGAAGCATGAGCTTCATCGCTGGCAGCTGTCTTTGGACCAGGATATGCCATGGGACTTTGCACGCCCTCACAAAGACTGCCTCTCCATTGCGGTCGGGCGAATGTTGAAGGCTGAGATTGGCAAGCACCAAGGCATCCACACTGTGACCTGTTTGGCAGACCTCACCTGCTTCTACGACACAGTGCAGCTCGACCACCTCATTGAACCAGCCGAAGAACTTCACTATCCACCGCTGCACTTGAAGCTGGCGCTTGACCTTTACACGGGCCCGAGGCTCATCCAGGCAGAAGGCATTGCAGGCAATCCCACCTACTATGAGAACGGCATCCTTCAAGGTTGTCCTCAAGCTCCGGCAATCGCTAAATTGGTCCTCTTCCGGCCTCTGCGAGACTTGGTCCAAACTCACCCCGCCGTTCAGCTGCAGACTTGGGTGGACGATGTCTCCTATGACATCAAAGGCAGGGATCCAGACTACGTTGCCCGTGAAGCCATCTTGGCTTTCCGCACCCTGAAGCAACGCCTGGAGCAGGCTGGACTCAAGATCAACTCTGACAAAACCGGGTTCCTCACCAGCAGCAAGGAGGCTGCAAAAGCCCTGGACACCATCCTACAACCAGGAGACCCTCAGCGCCACAATGTTCTCCGAGACCTTGGCATTGACGCCACAAACTCTAAGCGGAGAAGGGTCGCACAGATCAAGAAGCGATACCTCAAGGGCAGAGGCAGGGCTGGGATCATGATGCGCCTCAAGCTCAATCCCAGCATCAAATACAGGCTGCATCGAGGGGCCATTCATCCAGTGATGACCTGGGGCGCTCAGGCCAATGGGCTGGCCCCTCAAAGAAGACAACAAATCCGCGTCATGGCTGCCCGGGGTCTTCGCCTCCAGCGGTCTGGTTCTGTTGATGTTGTCTTCGACATGCATCCCAACAAACCAGACCCAGGAGACTCAATCATCCTTCAGCACATCCACACGGTCTGGAAGATTTTCCATGCCTTTGACGACAGTGCCCAGCACCTCTTTTGGATCAGCTGGAATTCAGCCTTGGACATTCTCCTCAAAGCCAAATACAGGTGGCAAGTTGTGACTGGTCCTCTCCAAGCCCTACAAGCCTACCTCCTTGATTATGACTTCGACATCTCAAATGGCAAATTGTGGAAGAGAACCGGTTATGGAGGCATTCCTGACTGTCATCTTTGCCTGACGGATGGTTGGCCTGAGATCCATCAAAAGCTCCAAGAGGAATTTCGCTGGCAACGGCTCCTCCGCCTGACAAGGCATGTGGGTTGCCACGATTTGGAACGTCCTTTGGATTGGACGGTCAGCAACACGCTCCAGAAGATCTCCACGGAGCGCTTCAACTCTGCCCTGAGAGCCTTCCACCAAGGCACCTTCCATGGCCAGTCAGGCAAGTGTCCACTGTGTGGTGTTGAGCTCACCTTCATCCACCTTCTATGGGAGTGCACCTTTTGGGATGGCAAGGTCCCTGCCCTTCCGGACCAATGGCGTGAGCGTCTTCAAGCAGGCACAGAACCTGAGCTGTGGAACCGCGGCATGACTCAGTCCATCTTCTACATCAAAGATGGGGGAATGGCAACCTTCAATGGTGAAGGGCTCTGGGAGGCCTTAGAGGCGTGCCATCTCCCTCCTGGGCATGCTGTCTCTCTAGCCGTTGCTCCCACTTGCAGAGACCCACGGCACAAGAGATTCGCCTTTGCGATTTGCATCCACCACATCCAGTCCAAAGAGAGAGTTGGTTCCTTAACCGGCATTTGCCCAGGGGAAGCCACCCGTCTTCGAGCCCTCTTCTATGGTTTGAAGCACATCTCTCTTCACTTGAGGGACAAGGCTCATGTGGCAGTTTTCAGCCAGGCCATCTGGGACGCTTGGAATCCATGGACGGCCTATGCCAAATTCCCTGATCTCACTCAAGGTCTGGAGCATGAGGACTTTGCTCAGATCAGGTTGCTCCTTTTCCAGACCAAGGAAATGCACTCCAGCCCAAATCGACAGGCCTTCCAGCAAGACACACAGGCCAAGGCCACCCAGGCTGCTCTCCTTGCCAGGCCAGAGGAGACCCTCGATCTCCAACGCCACATCGATGAGGACACCAGAGACATCCTTCACGTGGCAGCAAGACGAATTGAGTTTCTCCTCAAGGACAAAGCTCACTTCATTCACAAGCGAGAGGAGATTCCTGACAGTCAGAAGATACCCCTTGCTACTCAGAAGAAGCAGCTGCTGGAGCAATTCCTGTCTCAGCCCAGTGCCTTGGGTCATCAATGGATAGCTTACAGATCGGGAGTGCAATGCACCCAGTGCAAGCAGCGTTTTCATTCAAAGTCCATGGTCAATGAGATCAAGGACGGCCTCGCCCAAGCTTGCACGCATGCTGTGCCGGGTCGAACTTCCAAGAAGACTCGCTTTGAGGTCATACACGATCTCTTGGACGCCCAAGGCGAGGCAGTTGAAGGCACACACCATCTACGGCTTGACAAAGCGTACCTCAGGTGCGACCGTTGCAAAGGGTACGTGTTGGCTAGAGCAGGTGAGGAAATCTTCCACCGCTTCCTGGGAGAGGTATGCCACCATGGCCCTCTCGAGGCCAGCAAATGGTTCGGGCACCCAACACATGAGATGCTCCGCACGGGCAACAGCTTGGAGTGCAACTTGTGCCACCTCCGCACACGCATCCAAGGCGAAGTGATCCACCTGACGCAGAAGCTCCGCAACCCATGTTCCAAGCCGCGATCAATCGACATCAGAACTTGGCTGGCATGAGACCAGCGTTGACCTTCCACTGCGGAAAAGAGCCGGACAAAAAAAAAATATATATACGTGATGCCATAAGTTTATTTTTTTCTCCCGGAGTGTTGCAAAGGGTTCCTTTGTAGAAAGGGTGTGCATGGCAGATCTGCATTACTACAGTTCAAACTTATATATCTGCATTTGTAGGTTGCGACAAGCACATCTGCAGCTAGCAGGTGTGGTTTTCTGGAGTGGCTGCTACGGAGGTGGTAATACGACACTTGCCAGTAGTACTGCAGTAGAATTGTTTTTTCTTGTTTCAGTGAACTGCTTTAGTGCCGCGATCTTGCTTCAGTAAACATTCTTGCCAGATAGCTCATGTGACTTTCGCCGCGATCTTGTAAACACATCTGCAAAGTAGTTCATGTAACTTTCGCTCGGATCTTGCTTCAGTAAACACACCTGCAAAAATAGCTCATGTAACTTTTGCTGGGATCCTGCTTCAGAAAATTGTAAACACACCTGCAAAATATCTCATGTAGCTTTCGCTGGGGTCTCGCTCCAGTAAACATTTACAGACGTACAGTATAACATATCTGAGTTCGCGCGTGTGTGACGCATCCCGGCTCTCTATATCTATTCTTTCTTAGCCGGCGGGCTGGTCGGACAGGGCTCACGAAACGTGACCTTCTGGAGATTGTGCGCGTCCAGTGCTCAAACGTGAGGTGAGATGCGGTTGTGCTGGATGAACCCTTTGCGGAGATCGTGCGTGTCGTATGCTGAAACATGAGGTGAAATGAAACGGGTCTGTGACGACGTTCCTGAAATCATTCCAACCAAGCACGCAGCAGGTCTGTGATGCGAACGGCGGGACGAGAGGTAGTCCAACATGAACTTCACAGAAGCAGTCCAAGTATACCTGAAGAACTTCACCGTGTGATACAGTATACTACTATATTACAGAATCTTGCTTGGCTTGCCTTTCTTTTGCTCTACTTTGCGTTGTACCTTCTGACCTGTTAAGGGGACGTCTCGCTCTTTATGACGCATCCGTCTAGGAAAGCTCCGTGCCTCTGGGTTCAAACGATTTTGTTGCCTGAGTGAAGGAAAAGACATGAGGGCCACATGAGGGTGAAAGGATTGCGATGATCAAGCGCAGAAGGGTAAGGAGAACAGGCAGGAGAGCGAGTGGGATGGGGGGAGGGAGAAGAAAAGACATGAGAAGGCAAAGGAGGAGCTAACCCCCGCGATACGGCCATATCATGGGTAAATCGCCGCTGTTTTGTTCTTTCACTTTTTGCATCAAAGCCTTGCAGAAGGTAAGTTTGCACAGACAATGGCACAAAATGAGTTTTCTGCTTCTTGCGACCGCACGGAACTTTCACACGCTACCACAGAACGTGTAAAAAAACACGGACTTTTGAACGTGAGCGAGCAGCGCTGGCAAAACTCATGCGCTATGTCCTTTTGGGACTGGTAATTTGTTTTGTCACCTGCTCCAGGAGCATTGAGCCAGCTTTAGAAAACATTTGCAGCGCATTATTTGCATGTTCGGGAAATGAACACATGCACTGCACTGTTGGACATGTGCCCCCCCCACACCCACGCCCACACACACAAACCAAACTTTGATTACATGATCGGACATTAACCTAATCATAGGCTGTTGGTGTTGGGAAACATGGAAGCAGCTGCAAAGGCTTTGCCATAGCATCAACGATCGCACATATTTGTCCGACCAAGTCGACAAAATTGGATTTACTTATGTTGCGCCCGTCTGACTCTGCCGAGAGCATTGTTTGCGCGTGATTGTCTCTGTCCTGTGCAATAGCTTTTCGATCACCTGGGGAATGATTTGGAAGCAACGAGACACAAAAAATATGGTCACACACACAGCACTGCACCAGGGACCATCGCATCACATTTCAAGCTGGTGAAAAAGCTTCAACTAAAGACACTTCATTCAACACCTCCGAGATACAAATTGTTTGTTTTGACGCTGCGCAGGTGAACCGCCCGGCAGATTTAGCTCCGATTTGATGAAGGATTTAGGTGATATAGCACCTAGCGGTTTTTAGTTGTTGTCGAAAACGAAGGTGGAGGTTGCCAAAGTGTTTGACTGTCGTCGAAAAACGATGGTGGAGGCGGTGGAGGTTGCCAAAGTTCGTAAGCTGTGATCGAAAACAAAAGTGTGTGGAGGTTGCCAATGTGTTGTGTAACTGTCGAAATGGGACGTTTATGGTGCAAATCTAGTACAGGCAGTGGGAGCTGTGGCTTCGCAACTTTGTAGTACAAGCTGTGGCCTCATAAGCAGTGCGAATGTAGTGCGGGAAGCAGCTTCTGGGAGCTGTGGCCTCAGAGCTGGCAACTTTGTCTTACAAATCTAGTGCGGAAAGGGGCTTCGGAGGGAAGGAGCTTCTGGGAGTAGTGCGGCCAGCAGGAGTACGGGAACTGGGAAAATTTGGAGTGCAAATGTGGCAACTTTGTTCTACACATGTAGTACGAGTACGGGTCGCAGCCTGCGGCCTCAGAACTGGTAGCTTTGTAGTTGTGATGTCGCTGTGCCATGCGGTTTTGCGCGGGTGGAAAGTCGTGTGTTTGCGTTCCATGGCCTCAGCCGGTCAAACCCCAAGCTCAAGCTAGAAAAACAGACCTGTGACAATGATGAGACCGGATGGTTGAACCCTAACCTGTGACCCGCACTTGGCTTCCTTGGCAGACTTTGTCCATCATGTTGTTGTTGTTGTTGTTGTTGTTCGGCGGCGCCAGTTGAAGACAGTGGTTTGACCAACTGTATGTCCTCATATGCACTACACCACCTTCATTTTCACCGCGCAACTTGCATCCCAACATCCACCGCCGAGGTCATCGGAGAAGACATGCGCTTCTGGGACGCTCCTCGGAAGGCCAGTCGTTGGAGGTGACACCACAAACGACCAAGGGCGAAATGGGTGCTTCAGAAGTCATGGGTACGGTATGGGGTGGTCTCAAAAAAAAGAGTCCTCAATGGTTTTCATCCATTTAGTTTTGCGCCCTGGAGTTTCCTGTTATGTTATATATGACAGTTGTGGTTGCCAACATTGCCAGTTTTTCCCCCTTGTTCACCACGAGAGTTGCCTCCCCATGCCCGCGGGGGGACTTCGCCCAGGCGGACCTGATCGTGTCTGAGCTCTTGGGCTCCTTCGGCGACAATGAGCTAAGCCCCGAGTGCTTGGATGGTGCGGGTCCCCGGCAGGGCGAGGGCCCACCACCCAGGTGGGGCCACTTGGCGCTTGAAGGTGACAGACCCCATCCATAGGCGGATCCATGTGCTGCCAGTGTTTGAATGAGAAGATCAATGCGAGGCACAAAGCAATGAGAGGTCACAATGAGTCAGCCAGAACAAACAAAATGACAACATCAAATGAGACTGCACAATGCCGCCTTAGAATGGCCTCCGACAAACTGCTTTGGTCGGGTGCGGCGAAGCTCCAAGGAACATGTTCACTGGCCATTTGAGACCAAACCGCTTTTTAGAGCGAACCAAATAGCCGACCTCATCGAAAGTCAAACAAGTCAAACAACCTCAGAAAAACAACATCATACAAGTTCAAACAGCTAATTTTTAAAAAACATGTTTTTGATGTTTTTTCCTATGCCTCGCACAACTCCAAGAAGGGTGCCACTTGACCTAGCCGATCCTTCTGGGTCGTTCCGGGTTGTTCTGATCGGCCAAAGAGGAATCGGATTCGAAGTGCCTGAGCCTTCAGTCTTCAACCCATCGCCAAATCTGCGAAAGATCGCGTACACGTTTCAAGGGGAACTTGGGAATCAAAGATCAATTTGTGCTGCCTGCTTGTGGTTTTGGGCAGGACGGAGGCCAGTGTGGGCCTGGGTGTCTTCTTTTTAATCCTTATCGAGCCCAGTTTTCGGCTCAAGCCAGGAGTCGTAGGATCCATCCGGTCCAACCCCTCTGATTCGGGAGCATTTGCGGTGATGCCGATCGGGAACTTGGTGGTGGCCAACCCCAAGAAGCCAACGATGCTCTGCGGTGTCTTGGAGTGAAACGACCCCTCCCCACGGGTTTCTCGGAACGGGGGTGACTGATCTCGTTCTGAAATCTGCCCAGAAGCCGATGTCATCATTCATGTTTCCATAGGTTTCTTGTGAGTACGAGAAATCAAATCCCATTGGCCATGCTTCACTCAGATGGAGAAGAGAGGCACGTCGAGGATGATTCCGAGGACGGTCAGAGCGATTCCTGCTCCCCACTGGGAAACCGTCGCCGCGTCAGCCCATTTGTATACAAGAATGGAGTGAGACGATTGCGGCGTACGGCTGCAGTGCTGGTGGAAGAAATGAGGACTGCTGAGGAAGCATTTGGGTCCGGGGCCATTTTTCATCAACCAAACAACTTAAACATTGATCGATTCTGTATCAGCAAGCCTCATAGCTAGCCAGAATCTCATGTTATTGCTTTCTCTAGGAGTCTGATGGATGACCATGGATGCACCCTGACGATGAGGCTGTTATCATCAGAAGTTCTCATCATCCTTGCCTTTGTGCCCTTTCAAGACCAAATTCTGTCAGCACTTTTTCAAAGAAAGAACTCGGAAAAATCTTGAACAGTAACAGAGACAACCGAAGCCAACAAGACCGGGGCCACACCATGAAACAGGTGCGGTTTGGAGCTGCTCCCCCTTGTGCTTGATTTGCTCCCCATTTCATGCAGAGGGTTTCGAAAGGGTCTTATAAAAGCTCCTGCCTTGCCAAATCTGCGGGTGTTTGCACACCGTGTAGAGAAACCAGGGTTAAACCCTGAATCCGGGCTCGGCTGGTCACTGGTCAGCCATGCAGGATTTGTCACCGGCTGCATCCGCATGCCAGGGAGCTTGCGTTCTGTTTTCAAGGCCGCAGGGTTGCCGAAATGTCAGGCGTTTCATTTCTCTCTCTCTCTCTCTCTCTGACATGGGGTGCACAGCACGAAGCAAATAGCTTGAAGCTGATTGCTCTTGAGTTTTCTTCTAGTCACACATGCCTGGAATAGAAGAAACATACCGCATGCTTGGCCGTCGAGCGTGCTGTTTTGCCAACGGCCAAGATCAGGTGAGGAACTAAGAGATATTCACATGGCTGCGCATGTGGGAGCCTTGTTGGTTGTTCAGGGCCACGTTTCTTTGTGTGGCCTTCCCCAACCAAGGCAGCCAAATAGCCCCAATGGTGCAGAGAAATATGATGTGTCTGATATGTGAAGTTGGGCGGTGTTTGATTTCCAATGGTTGCATCAGAGTGCCACTTGTGCCTGTTGAGATCAAGGTGCAGTCAGACAGTCATTTCACCCGGCTACACGCATTTCATTCGGCGGCTGAACATGGGTTTCTCAGATTTTTTCAACTGAGTTGGACGAGAATCAAATGAGTTGATCTAACAGGACGACAACGTGACCGAGCAGGGTTGCTTTCTTAGGGGGCCTGGTCATCTGGTCGCACGCTGCAGTGGGGTGTGTCGCTGGAGACCCAGGACTCCAAGAAACAACACAAACCCGCCCTGTTCCGAGTCTTCTAGAACAAAGCCCTTGGCTCCAATGGTTGAAGTGTAATTGGCCAAGTTTCGTCTCGGCACTTTGGTGTTTCTAAGGAGATCATCGTGCAGTTCGGTTTCTCTTACTGGATGGCGCTGGCCAGCAGAAGACCTCCACGGGCCAATCTGCCTTGGACGTTGCTCAAGCGGCCAACGAGCAGGGCTCACATGACGTCGTCATCGATTTGTTGAAGATGCCAAGCGAAGATGCGTTGCCGAACTACCTCAAAGAGCCATCAGACTCGGAGCCAGAGTAGGGATCCTTCATTCGATCATCTTTGTCCGTCCATTCGACCCGTCCTAGATCACTGCGGGCCGAGCCATGTAAGAACAGCTGGGTGGTGCCTCGGGGGGGCGTTTTGGCGCCTCACTCTACCTCATGTGAGCACCATCCAGCAACCGCAGAAAGGCGGTTCACAGTTGTCCTTTTTGATTCGCTAGATGATTTCTAGCTATTCTCGTCTCACTGAATCCCTCTGTGATTTTCTCAATCCCAACCTAGTCAGGAAAGGGTTTGCTCCGTGGAGGGTTGGCATTTGGCCTGGTGCCTCTGGTAAGATAGCCCGAGAAGAGACATCATCAGCCAGAGCCGTACGAGTCGAAAGATGGTAAAAGCCGCTTGCAGACACATCCTTCCACATCCGCACGACATTCTTTGGCAACAGGGAGCTTTTTGTTCAAGAAGCTCATGGAAGACACATCAAAAAAAATCAATGGTCCAGGAACCGGTCTGTGTGGGGTGTGGGGTGTGGATCAGTGTAGTGGGAGCTGAGCTGCCAGTGGCTCAACCTGGAAGGGGATGGCAGGAACAGGCAAGTTCTTCGACAATGTGAACATACCTGAAATCCCTTCTTGACCTTTTTGATCCTTTTTTTGCTTTTCTTTGGACTGACACTTTCTCATACACGGGGTCTGCTTGATTTAGGCGAAATCAGAAACAAGCTGACTTCGTGGCTTGAGTTGGTACCTACTGCCAGGTTCGACCCAAAGCAGGTATGATCCAGACCGCTTTCCGGGGTCTACAGTTGTCAGCTGTGCAGACTGTTTTATTCCTGAAGCAGCAGCCATCTCAGCACCAGATGCAATATGATGGCCTTTCTCGTGGAAGACTCCAGTCACCGACGTCGCCTTTTTCCAGGTTGAAATCAAGAGAATCAAGAGAATCAAGGCCACTGGCTACTGGCACGTTTGGTCTCAAAAGGAGGGCTTCCAACCGTTCCTCCATTTTGGGCGGCTCAAACCGTCGCTCCGATTCTGCCTCGACGCCGGCGGAGGTGCCCAACGCTTCTTGGAGCCCGACGGCGCACGGGGCGCCCAAGCGAAGCACATCGGGCGTGGCACCCGCGCGGCACCTGCTGGACCTGCGGGACCTATGCCTTCGGACTCTTGAGCTTTGCACCCCCCAATGCTCTCTTCGAAATGAACATGTACGTATACTTCTACTAGGCCAAGAAGGGTCAGGAGCTTCGCTGCTGAGGCCTGCATCCCTTCAAAGTACACCTCTAGCCTCACGCCTGCCACTGGGCCGTTCGATCTCCCGCGCGAGTCGGTGGGATGGGACGTTCGATCCATTGGGCTGGAACGTTCGATCCGGCGCGCTGCTTTGGCCAACGGACTAAGCGGATTCAGCTTTGGCCAACGAACTGAACTGTCCTCTCTTGGATGTTCTGAATTAGGTACACCCTGCGATGTTCTTGGTGTTTGAAGAGAAAGGGCACTGGTCTTCCTCTTCTCAACCGCCATGCTGCAAATGCTTCTTTCTAGCTTTGGTTGTCAACGCCGACCTTCCAAGGATTGCGCATGCGAGACTCCTTCACTATAGGGCCCCAAAAGGCTCTCAGGGGATCTCAGGGGAAAGAACACAGATCTTCTTCCAATTTGGCAGTTTTTCGATCATTCGGAATCTTTCGGAGTCTTTCCGTCGGGATGCCTCCTCTTTCATCCAAACAAGAGCTGGTGGCAAGAAGCCTTCCGATTCAAACGGGAGGGAACCTCGTTTCATGCATGACCCTGACCCAGGGTCCCTGGAGCTCATAAGCTTCACAAGCAATTCGTTCCCTCCGCACCCCGGGACTTTCGGGAAAACGTGTTGCGGGTTCCAACCGTGGTGTGGTTTAAACGCCTGGTATGGTCCAAAACACACTGTGCGTGAGCCCTGAGGTGACCACGCACAAGCTGTGGAACGACGTGAAGAACTACAATGACTTGGCCCACTTTGAGACAGCGCCAGGAAGCCGAGAAGACAGCGCCTGGAAGGCGAAACGCAAAGAGTGCGAACATGGGAAACAACGGGAGGCTTCCCACACTACGAGGTTGAGCCTATTCTCACATCCTGAGAAATACCATGCATGTGGCTGCTTCGTTGGTCATACGCACTGGTAATCATTGATGCACGTTCCGTTTGCATTTTATGTGTTGCCGTTTAGCGAGAGAGGCCCTCAGCCACACCCTGGAGATGAAATTCCAATCAGTGAGGGTTTCCTCGTGACCAATTCAGATCATCAGGGAACGCATTTTTGACACCGCTTGGTGGGTCGAGTGAGTGCAGTCCGGTGTTTGTGAGATCCGGAACAGGGCCCATCGTTGGAGCTTTTCCATTGCTGCCTTCCCTGCTTTTGCGCTTCTTTTGGTGTGGAAAGCACATATTTGCTTCATTTTTCAGCGGGCCTGGGGCAGAGAACTGGTGCTACCACCTGACCTGCTGGCTCCAAACACGACCTGGTGCTACCTGGGGAGCCGTCCCCGAGTCGTTTTCGCTGCCCCAGCGGGCTTCGGTTTTCGCCGAAAAACGCACCGCGAGGTATGTGGTGAAGTTCCACCAGGCCTTCTATCCGACCTCTCAGGTTGAGCTGGGAGTCCCGGAGCTGACCATGAGCTGGGCCATGGCGGCTTTTTGGTCCAAGAGGGTTTTTGTGGAGGATAGAGCCATGGGACATCCATTGATTTGGGGTCTCATCCACATTTGAGGTCTTAAAGCTCTGAGTGTAACTCCTGTACTCACCAGAGTAGTTGAGATAGCAAATGACTTCAGAGACGGTACAATCGCAACGGGCAAATCCGCAGCCCACCGGTTCGGAGCTGGAACCGTCGCTAACCGTTGCGTAGCTGCCCGACTGGCCGGCGAAAGATCTGGATGGACACCGTGGCGCTTCCACCAAACCTTTTGCTATTTTGGGGATTCACCTTTGTCATTGAGATGCCTTTGCAACTTCAGAGATGCCAGTCGATCTCTGATTCCTTTGTCCGAGGAAGTGCTTCGAGTTTTCCCATCCCAACTGGGAGCTCAGCAGCAACGACCGGCATGGGACCCGAGTTGGGACTTGGGAGCGGGTGGGAGGTGAACTGGGACAAGCTGGACAGATTCAGCAAGGGAATTTCTTCATGCTGGTATTGACGTACTTTTAAGCGGCAGAAGCTTTTCTCCGTAGTTAGAGAGATATGAGATAAGATGAGATAAGAGTCTTTCTCGCTTCAGACCAGATGCATTGGACGATTTGTGCTTTCCTATCTTGCCGAGACATACTTGTAGGCAGGATGGGCCATGGCCGGTGGTCTCATCCTCGTGGAAGGCTCATCGATTAGGTTCGATGCCACGTGTCGCTCCAATCGATCCCTTGAATTGATGGATTGGCCGCTCAGATTTCGCGAGCGGAATCCATCGATGTCGCTCAGATATGATGTGATACATTCTTTGTCCTCAGGTACGCGCAGATTGAGTTTACCTCGGAGGCCCTCGGCCCTCAGAGAGTGTTTTTTGTACGTTCGACCAGTGGGTCTAGTTTAGAATCTTCCTTTTCAGAGGGACGAACCTTTGGGTACCTCTGAGTCTGAGCTTTTCCAGGTGAACTGGAGCAATACCCAGAAGACAGCAGACTCTCTTGATGTTTGCACCCTTTGAAGATTGCCGGACGTCAAATCAGCGCGGCGACAGAACCTGCAAGTATAGAACGCGGCACCCAGCTCTTCCGAAGCGTCACCTGCGTCACCTGCGTAGCCGAACCGATCCCTTCTCCCCGGGCAAGTTCTCCAAGGATTGAGAAGTACCACGAAGAACGCTCGTGAACGCGAGGAAACGCTGTTCAGGTGGATGCGCTCGTGCATGGCTTCGCTGGCTACTTCCACTGCGAGCTTTATGCAGGTGACGCCTTCCAGGGGGACCTGCACTCCTGAGAGTCTAACATTGAGTAGTAAGGCCAGGAGCCCCTAGTAGCGTCCTTGCTCCTAGTAGCGATGCCCTTGTTCGATGCCCTTGTTACTAGTAGCGAACATTGCTCCTAGTTGATCTGGAAAGATGGGATTTCGGAACCCCCTTTCCCGGGTGCTTCTTCCTTTCTTCTTTCTTTGTGGGGGCCCGGCCCCCAAACGGCTCCGGATTTCGCTCCGCAGGCCTTAGCGTGTCCATCAACCCAGAGAGCTACTCCGAAGGCATGTTTTCTTGGTCCGGACGCCTGGATGGGCCGAGGTCGCCCGTATGGCTGGGCACAGGTGGTGCTTAAGCCGGTGGCAGTTGGCTGGTCAGTGAGGAGATCCTGACAACCTTGGAGGGTAGTGATGAGCATGCATTTCAAGACTTGGAATAAGGTCAGCTGCGGGCACAGGGCATAGCTTGTTTTCATTCAAATTCACAGATGGCATGAATGATCATCCATCTGCGTATCCACATCATCGCAACCATTTGCTCACAAACGACACGAGGAGGAGGAGGCTTGCTAGCTGTGCTGCGTAGGTTTGCACCGAATGGTCTAGCTTTTTGTTTTATAAAATCGATTCCAAATCCGAATGAAGACTTCTTCATCAAGACTTGTGACCGCGAAGGATCGCTCGCTCGGCCCGGCCCCTGATTCTTCAGAATCCGATCGGAGGTTCCCCATCTACTTCCCCCTGCGAACACCGGTGAATTTGAAGCGCGGCGAGAAGCTCACGAGTTCGGGGCGCCCAGCGTGGTGAGCAGAGCAAGCTGAGGTTGGTGGAGGAGCAGGTGGAGATTGAAGTTGTTACTCTGTTGGTCATGTTGGTCAGTTGATGCTTTGCTCAGAAATTGAGTTAGCCCCTTTATCTCCATGTTCAGATGGGACTATAAAGTTGCTGGAGTGGCAGATGCCTCACCCAGAGTGATCATCTTGAGTAGGATTCCACAAGCCGCACTGATGGCGAGCCCTGAACATTAGAAGCACGAACTTTGTCAGGGACAACTGACAACTGTGCTAAATATCACTGAGCGAAGATCTTGAAGGGTTTGAGAGTTGATCATCTGTTGGTGCTTCGGAATTGGTGTTCTGTCTATCCTAGCGCTGGGTGGCCGGGAACCTTGGCATCACTCTGAAGGGCTTCCAGAAGGCAAGCAGGACACGTCGCAGATTCGATTTTTGCACTGCATCAATGCTCCAAGGTCACTGGTGGAGGTGTAGCAACGACCGCAAGGCTCGGCAGAGAATCCGGCTCCGCTGGGAGTGTTGCTTTGGAATGGTTCTATTTCTAATTAATGGCTATATTATATTGCAATGGTTGTATAAAAGCTTCTATGAGGGGAGCCTGCCCCAAACTTGTGGACACGGTCACGGTTTTCCTCATGAGAGGTGTGGGCCAGCGTAGGCCTTGAGGAAAGTTGGGATGCCCTTTGCGCTTTGCTCCTAGTAGCGTCCTTGCTGCTAGTAGCGATGCCAGGAGCCCCTAGTAGCGTCCTTGCTCCTAGTAGCGATGCCAGGAGCCCCTAGTAGCGTCCTTGCTCCTAGTAGCGATGCCAGGAGCCCCTAGTAGCCTCCTTGCTCCTATAAATAGCGGAGCAGCAGTGCGGTTGCTGGTGGATAGGTTGACGGGGGGGATGATGACGCGAGCTTGGTTCGTTGGATCGTTCCAATTCCGGGGGAGAGTTGGACAGTTGTGCTCCAAACCATCCAAGTGCAGTTTTTTGGATGATCTGCGGCTATTTGGTCAAGGAGATGTTGGGATGCTGAGATAGCACCCGACCCTCACCCACTAGAGATTCAACTACTGTATCCAAAGAAGATCATGTGACATTTGCTGAGACTTCTTCACGTTTGTTTGCCCATGTTTGCAGAGTTCTGGGAGGTAGACTCGTTAGCAAGCCTGGCCGCCGCAGAATGCTGCTCAGATTGTTTTCCCGGCAGGGGAGCACCCCGCAAAGAGTGTTTCTTGGAGCCTCATGCCCCCCCGAGCGCCAGATTTCACGATTCCAGCTCCCCAATCATCGTTGGAAGCTGTTCCCGGTCAATCGACAACGTACAGATTACAGATATTTTTGGTCACTTGATTGGTCTTCGAAAGGGGACGCCTCCTGTATGAATTCAGCTGGAGCATGGAAAAAGCATGGAGAGCAGGCTGTTTGGTCCCATTCAAAGTTGTCACAAATGACTTGGGCATCGTCCAGATCACCGTGTCAAAAGGAAGTCGTGCACCGACTCACCTGGCTCTGTTTTGCGGTTAAATCGCAAACAGCTGATTCCCTCAAACAGATGGAACCGCGAATCTTCCAAAAAGCACATGCCATAATCATAAGATGCCCATGGTTTGCCTTCAAGGTGCTCATCAGAATCATTGGACCAGACCTCATTTGGTGTCGGAACCAGAGATCCACACCTCGCATTTCACCTGGTCCCCCCCCCTGGAAAGACTCAACAAAAAGCTACAAGACCCAACAAGACACCCACCCAACAAGACTTACAACGGACAAACCGAAACTGGCGCTTGGAGAGCGGCCATGGTGAGTCTCTTGGCTTTTGGGTGGATGAAAGTGGAGGTGGAGGTATTGCGTGGGAAGTAATTTATGATAACTTATGTACAGTAGATGTATACTTACTGTATAAGTTCTAATCAGAGTATTATTGAGAAAATGCATCCATGACATGGATTGCATGTGATTTGATGTCGGTCCTTCGATCCCTATCGGTTCGAGGGCCCTTGAGCGTGTTCGATCTGAACCCCGGCTGCGCCATGGAAAAGAGCGCGTGACCGTCCGTTGGGGGGTGGCTTTTTGACCCTCGTTCATTCGAGGGTATCTACATTGCTGTGCTCTGGTTCCGTTACCATTTCACATGGTAGCGGAGCTGCCAAGCTCCAGTGACTGTTGAGGTCCCGGCCTTTCCCGGGTGCGACGCAAGTCGCAGCGCAATCCGTGCCATCAAGGTACATTGAGATTTGGTGCATTGAGCAGTGGTGCAGTGTTGACATTGACATTGACTTGCAGCTATGGTTTTCAAAGATTCGTTGAAAGACCTCTGCTTCGACGGGAAGCAAAGTGGCTATCGTGAGCTTCGACGGAAGAACAGGAGCGCGAGATCGAGTCAGGCCTCCAAGGCATCACAGGGGAGGTCCACTGGGACGGAAAAAGGTGACCAGCGAAAAGAACGTCTTCCCGTGCAGCGTCTTTTGGGAAAGTGGAGATTTCACGCGCAAAGCCCAAGCCGATTTTTCCACAGTCAGTGTTGGGACATTTGTTCATGAGGAAATTTGGGTTGTCGCGTGAACAGCGAAGCCACATCATTCGTTCCACAGGTGGTTCAAGTCGTTTTGCTGACATTGAAAAGATTCTTCGTGCCAGCGACTATGAGGACAAGATGGGTGACCGTCGACGCAAGCCTACGACGATGCAGACATGTTCGTCCCAGGAGGGACACCTATGCTGTTGAGCAAGCTGCTGAGCTGTCATCCACCTCGGTTGACCCCTTGTCTGGATTGGATTCTGGAGAAGAGGCATTCCAAGTTGAGGGTGAAGAGAACTCCCTCGGCACAGGTTCTGAGGAAGATCTGCAGGAGATCTATGAGATTCAGAAGAAGGCCAAAAAGGAGTTCAAGAAACAATTTCGCACATACAAGGAGCCCAAGAAGAAAGTGAGAGAAATCAAAAGAGCTTAGACAACCCTACATGTCCGTGGTGGCCATCCCGCCGACAGAAGGTGGTGCTTCCCAGACACCAATTGGGAGGCCACTTCATGCAAGACACCACGCTATGAGAAGAAGTCCTTCGAGAGGAAACCTCAGAAGGATCCAGAGAAGAAAACACCGAGGCGTGAGGACGCCAATCTGACGGAAGCTGTTGAATTGGTTGACAGGACATTGACCGAGTTCAGCTATGCCCCGACCGAGACTACAACAGTTGAGCTTGAAAATCTTCTGGCATCCATTCCGTCGGTTTTTGCAATCATTGATACAGGTCGTACAACGTCAGTTGTTGGTGAAGAGACTGCGCAACGATATGAGCAGGTATCTCAATGGTCAGAGTGAGACAACTTCTGTTGGTTTGATGTGGACGGTACAGCTGGGATCACTGAAGGGGAATATCACCACCTATTCCGTTCCTGGTAGTGCACCATTTCTGCTGTCGCGTCGAGTGTTGGAGGGAATGCACGCCACGCTGGATCTTGGTCGCGTGACCATCGCCTCCGACAAGCGTGGCGTGCGTGAAGTGCCTCTCAAGCAAGCGGCCAATGGCCACCTGCTGCTGTCTCTCGTGCCGCACGTTGCTGAATGGGAAACCGTCCTCGACGACTCAGCGTCCAATGAGCCCAATACGCAAGAAGACCAGGCAATTGACAACCAGTCCATCTCCGTTGATCTCGAGCACCGCCGTGAAAGAGGACAGGACTCGGACGAAAGTCATTCGCGTGTTCATGAACGAAACGCTCCAAAAATGCAGCCGTCACCGTGTGATACTCGGAGGGCGTTTCAAACTGTTTGTAAAAACACTAAGAATGGAACTGTGGACTGCAATTTGTTTCGCGCCGAACTGTCGCAGCTGTTTTCATGTCCAGAAAAACAGGTGTTGCATGCTTTTGTAGCCTATAGACTTAAACTAGAAAGGATCCCTACCGATGCCGAACATTCCTCTTTTGAAATGAAAATAGTTTCCATGGACAGACAAGGATCCATGTCCATGTCCGAATGGGGAGTTCGAGCCGCTGGAAAGGTCAGACGACCGGTCCAACCCATGCAGGTAGCGATCTTTGCATTTCGATCTATGTCAACAAACCCCGATCCCGAGATTTCGATCAGTGAAGCCGAGCCCGCTGAACCTGTCGTGCCGACGCGACACTGTGACTGCTGTTGTGCTGATGATATAGATGGGGACTGGGAATACCAAACACAGGAACAAACCCTTGAAGCCTTGTATGAAGAAATGGATTGGGCAGACCTTAATTTGCAGGAAGTCCCACACGAGACCCATGAAAAACTGAAAAAGACGAGCTCGAAGAACCGGAAGAAGACATATCCGAAGGACCATTAGCCGATGGTGATCGACATTCACCAAGCCGCATTTTGAATCCAAGGCAGTTGAGCCTCACTGCACTCGTGCGGAAGTTGCATGTGAACACTGGTCACGCCTCCGTTGAGCAGATGCTGAGATTGGCAAACCGATGTCAAGCCAGTCGAGACACTTTGTAGTTTGCGCCCGCAACTTCCAGTGTCCTATCTGTAATGAACTCAAGCCCCCACCATCGCATAGGAAGAGCGCGATCCCTCACGCAGAGAATCCAAACGATATAGTGGGTATTGATTTTGTTCAAGTAGAACTCAAAAGGGAAGGTCGGAACGGTAAGATGACTGAAATAAAGCTTAATGTCTTGACCTGTGTAGATCTTGCATCCGGATTTGCTCAGCAGATCATCGTCGAGCGTGGCCCGAATCAGCTGTCACAGGCATTTCAAGGTGCCCCTAAGATCATTTTCTTGGACCGGGCAAAAACAAGCCTGTCCCAGGACTTTCAAGAGTACTTGAGACACCATGCTATTCAACTGTTGCATGCCGCAGCGGAAGCACATTATCAATTAGGTTAGGTGGAAATAGCCAACCGCATCCTCCGAAACATGGCCAATCGATGTTGGCCCAGTACGGATAGATCCCCTGAAGAAGTCATTGAAGTGTGTGCAACCACTCGCAATGAGCAGCTTAGGAAACATGGTTTCAGTCCTGCGCAATGGTTTTTGGGAAGGGACTCACGCCACACCGGAATGCTAGCTGATTTAGACGAGCAAAGAAACTTTCCCGCCCAGTCTCAAATTCTGGCTGAAACCGTCCTTTGCATCAAAGGTTCGTCTTCGTGAAGAAGCCGCCAAGGCATTCCATGAGGAACACGCTAAAGATGCTTGGAGAAGAGCCGTAGCATATAGACATCGTCCAATGAGAGGCCCTTATGTTCAAGGTCAACTTAATTGTTTACATGTTTCGGGCAGTTGGTAGAGGACGAAAAAGTACTCGACATGGAAGATGGCTAGGTCCTGCTAAGATTGTAGGAGTTGAGAGTTCATCCAATAGTCCCATACCACGACTCATTTGGACAAGCTATAATGGGTACCTGTACCGGTGCAGTCCAGAAGAACTTCGACCAATGTCCGAAGACGAAGCTGAGTTTCGTGCACTGGCAAGAGGACTCGCGCTTGGCCAACTGTCTCCCGAGACGGAAGACG